CTATCGCAAACGCTTAGGTGGGATTAAGTTGGTTTGGGTTATTTGTTCATCTAGAAAATATTGTGTCCATAGTAGTCAATGTCAAAGAAAGTTTAGTGAATGAGAAAGTGCACACATGAAGAAGAATACGAAACTGAAAAATCAACGGGCAAGTTTGCTATTTACATAGTTTGCTCAACTAATACCTGCTTAAGAATCGATGGCAGAGTACAGGCCTTCGATGTCCTTTTCACTTCAAAAAGAAAAAAATGCACATATCTTTAGGAATTTATCGAAATGAAAAATTCGTGTTAGCATTTGTACTCGATGTCCATAATGCAGCATTTCCACTAGGTATTAAATGGCAAAATTTTGTAATGACAATGTTGGACATTAAAAAAACTCACGCCATTACATTTATAAAAATTAATCATTCAGGCAGGTTCTGCAATTCAATTTCGAGTGAATTTCAACCCCAGCCAATTCGAAAGTGAATTGCAGAACCTGCCTAATTATGTCTGTTTCCACATGACATTTTTTTAAATTGCATACATTTTTTGTCATTTTAATGCCTAGTGGAAATTCGGCCTAGCACTGGAGTATCAGTTTTCTGGTTTTTATCGCTAACAATCGAAACACAATATTTATCGATGCGGTTATTGTATATTTTGTTACCGATATTTTTACTGTGATTGATTTCTACTAATATCTTTAACAGAATCTTTCTATATATTCAATGAGCCCGCAAGAACAACTAATAGAACTCTGGAATGTTACGCTGTTGCAGATAAAAAGTAATCGATATTGAGAGCAGAAGAAGGAAGTGAGTTATATTTTGCATAATAAACCATGCGAAAAACACACTCGTGTATATGGTATCGTTATCGAGACATTTTAAACGATTTCACAAAAAGAAAAAGGTTATCAATTCATCTGAAAATTTAATTTTTTTTATGTTTGTTACCGCATAATTTTGCATGACGTGAACTAATTTCTACAATTCTTTTATTTTTTGAAGGAACCAATTCCGACTGTAAACAGCTCCAAAAAACTCGGGAGTTACCTGCGATAGTTTGCTCTCTCTCTTTCTCGGCGTACATAACCGCAATTGTCAATAGAGTACAAAGCCGCAACAAGATCCTCAAGTCGCTAAACGGCAGCACCTGGGGCAAATACAAAGAGAGATTTTGTTGGCAGCGTACAAGGCAATTGGACAGCCGGTTCTAACCTATGCAGGGTCCGTGTTGTCTAGCAGGACGCTCTGCACACTGCAGCAGGTTAAACTCGTATCTTAGTTGAAGAAATACAGATGCATCCAATGAGAATCCGCACACCTCTTCGCATGTACTCTAAACCCCACTCAACTAACGCCGCTCTCTCTCTGTAGTCTAACACAGTCGTAGTGGCACACTCTCTGGGCCCGATAATGATATTTTTGATATCGATAACGATAATAATACTGACAGTAATATTCGATACAGGTGACTTTTTCAATATCGATAGACATACAAAATTGTGGTGAGAAATCAATAACAGTAATACTGTCGCTAACAACTAACATACTATTAGAAACCACGCATACATACATACATACATATGTTGAGGTCAAGGTGCAGATATAAAAGTACCTAATTTAATCTTAATTCTCTTTACAAAATTAAAAGGCAACCTGTTTGACATAAACGCCTAAGAAGTGTTTATCACACTTTTTAAGGATAGGAAGCCCCTTTGCGCAAGGAAGAGCATAGTGCAGACAGTCTGGTAGTAGTACGCTTGACCTTCCTTTTGTCGCCTCCGCCAAGTTTAGGTGCATATGTTTGTGTTTGTTTACATACATACATGTATGTATGTATATTTTGGTCCTGCTCGAAACTCATTGTCAGACAATCGATTTTTCTGCAGGCTATATATACATGGAGTATGTAGCAAGTGCATATGTGTGTATGTATGTATGCATGTTGCCATGCGATGATGAGTTTCATTTAGTTATTTGCATATGAAATTGACATTTGAAGTGCGATAGGTACGAGCAAGTACCGCTTATACATGCACGTCGATATAGTGAATTGTTGTAACTACTGCTTTCATAAATATACATAAGTATGTATTTATAAGCACATCATAGTTAGTGCTAATATTATTAGGTAATATTGTAAGTTTGTCCATACATATGTACCTAGGCAGGTGTATACGATGCTAGCTGCTAGCGTGAATGTACATACAATCGAATTCCCAACTGTTGCTAAAAGTATATTGAACTTTCGTGGCCCAGCAGCGACTTACAATATATACATAGCATATACTACTCGGATTTAGTTATTAGCTATCGCGTGAGGAACTTGAATGACTATCTCCACTAGAGTTTATATTATTTGTATGCACATATATACATAAATACATACATATATAAGTACAAACATACATACATATGACTGATATCAATAGCACGCCCAATTATTTTCAATTAAAATAGGTACAGTTCGTTCTCTAACAAAACCCATTTAGACCCAAGTTTAAAGCTTTGTAGAAAACTTAAAATAATATAATAAATTTTCATCCTTTGGATGACAAACAATATCACTCTGAAATGGGGGTGCTGCTATTGATATGACCAATACTGTATATTTCTATATGTACACAAAAGTGTGCTCGTATGAATGAGCTTTGTTGCTCAAAGATGTCACATACAAGTTTATTACCAGCTATGTATGTATGCAAGTATGTGCATTAGAGTGACTCAAAAAATGCATGTGAAAAAGTAAAGTCGGAATTTGATTTCTTTCACCTCCTAAGATTGTTCTGTACCGAAAAAAAATATACGCCTATTTTTTATTTTGAAACCAAAAAATATTTACAGGTCACTGAAAGCGCCTAAAGTTTTCCATGTATATTTTTCTTTTGTTTATTTAATATTATTTTTTATAAAAACCATATAAATTCATATTTCAAACTTTTTGCAAAAATGATTAAAATTCTGGAAAATTGCAACTAAATTTCCAACTTTTTAATCGGACTTTTAAGAATTTTTTATAAAAAAGTAGTAAATATTAAATAAACAACAGAAAAATAGGAAACATTTGTTAAAATGGCGTGCCCCTATTTATTTTTCCACCACTGTATACATGTTTTATATGGAGAAAAATTTTCGTTGAAATGGTATAAAATTTTGAAATATTATTCGATCGGCCAACTTTGTTTCTCTTCAGGAGACTCCAAATAAAAATACCCTATTGTTTTTTTTTACCCACTTTTTTGGACCACCCTAATGTGCATCCATTCCGTACGCATATTTGTGTCGTCAAGTGTAAATTGCCAAAGAAATCGAAGCAAATTTATATACATACCAATTTGCGCATGTAAAGGTCAGGAGATTTAATATGGCACTCTATTTTTTCAGTTGTTAGTAAATTCTAATGTAAATAAGTAATTTTTAAGCAAAAAACCAACATGATTAAATACTTTCATATATATACATAAATATTTGCACATACTTTTATTCAAAGCAACAATGCGTAGAGTTCTTGATTGTACAAAAACTGTGCAATAAAAAGATTTCAAAAGCATCATTCCTATTTATCATAGTTCCATATTACAACAATGCATCGTTTCCACCATTTTGCACACTGAGAAGTTCACACTTTTTTGTGGTCTAAGTAATGCTTTGGAATTTTTAAACAATTAAATTAGCAAACTAAATAATACTAAGAAGCTAACAATTGTTTATGTTATGTTGGGAAATTACTGAAAATTGTTACTTGAGTTTTGTTTGATACTTGTTGTTGACCTTATTCGAATTCAGTTTGAATTAGCTATAGTTTTGTAATACATACTCGTTCATATATTTATCAGTAATTGTTGTTATGTTAAGCGCTGCTTGTATCAGGAGAATAAACCTACCATTTTATTGTATTTTTGTACACGCCGCCCGCATGAACTGCATACATATTCAATGGGTGTATTTTGATATAAATATATTATCGTCTTAGATCTCAAAATGTGTATAATTGGAAGCTATTTCGGGCTATTTCGACAAAATCACCGGGTTTCTAGGGGTAGTTTTTAGCCATCAACTCAAATATGTTGATATTTTTATCTTACCAAGCAATCTAAATTAATGGTAAATAGAATTTGCAACCAAAAATTTACAAAATCGTGAATACCAATTTTCAAATTGTCCAACTATCTCCAAAAACTGTCCAGTATTCTCAATACTATATACCGTCCTATTCCATTTTCCGACCTCTTGAATGCTGTCAACAGAATTTCGTTACATTTTTTTAAATCCGACTTATTACCGATTTTTTTCAATAACAGTCGCTATAATGGATCAGCCATTTTGAATTTCACGACTATATCGGAATCAAATTCAACGACCTCAAAAACAATCTTACTACCTTTAAAATGCGAAATTTCTCGCCAACAAAATATTACTTAATAGTTTGAAGTTTTTTTTTTTAATTTTCGACTTTGAGCATACGATGATAAAAATACAATTTTTTTAAATATGGGCCTAAATTACCTTTTATAAAATCCGTTTCAAGTATTTAAAAAAAAAAAAAAAATTAGTGTGCGAGCACAAAGCTCACAATCCACGAACTTTTTCATCTTCATCGGTTAATAGTAAAATTTTTTGTAGAATAATTTAACCCTCTACTGCCAGTTTTAATGAACGTACATAGAACTTCAAAATGCGGCTCAAAAATATCTATTATGCTGGAAGTAAAGGGTTAAATGTGCTTCGAAATTGGTTGAGACCCGATACAAAAACCCAAAAAATATACTATTTTAATTAACGGCTGATATTGTACACATTTGGGATTGATTTGACATATGACCTGTTTACATAAGTCTATCTAATAGTTTTGCTTTCTGGAACTTTTGCTCGATTAGAACTCGATAAACTGAAACAGGACTTTAATTTGAATTGGAAAATATGTATAAAAAAATTCGGGCAATGCCAACCAACTTAAAACTTAATAACTTATCCTTGCTTTTAATGCAACAAATATTTCTGAACTCACCTTCATTAACGGAACTGCTGTCCAATTTGCGCAATTCAATGCAAAATATTCACTAATTACTTAATACTTTTTAAACATTTTCGCCTGTAAGAGCATCGATGTATTATTATGTGCACGAGATCCATGAGGCGGGTGTTGGGGTCAGGTCAACAAAAACCAATTTTTTATTTTATTTTTTGCCAGTGACAGCAAATGTTTGCTATTTGCAATTTATTTTTTTGTATGTATTTCATATAGTGCGGCAGGTGTCCAAATTAATTTGAAATTTTCACCAATGCGCTGACGACGACGACGACGACGACGACAAAAAACTGTTGCCAACAGCGTTTGAACCAGCAAACGGAAGTAATCATTATAATCAACGTCTGCGAACCAAAGGTATGGACAGACAAATAAACGAAAGCTTTTGGGCTGTGATTGCTGCTGCTGCTGTTGTTGTTGGTGGTGTTTGTGTTAATGGCGACGCTGCTGATGGATTTTTATTTTTTTATTTTTTACTTCACAGGATACAAATGCTGCAATAAGATTAAAAGAAAGTGAGAAATTGAATTATGAAAATGTATTTGAAAGTGAAAAGTTGAAGAAAAAATTGAAAAAAGTTTTTTTTTTTTTGTAAGATTATTGAAGATGTTTATATAAGTATGTACATATGTACATATTCGTACTTGTAAATAAAAGGTGAAAATATCTTGTAGCTCATAGTAATATTATTTTTATGAAATATTTGATATCAAATGTTCGACTTGCATCGCAATGCTTTAAAGGCACTTTTGTTTTGACCATTGCACAAATATTGTTGAAAAGCAAAGTTATTTGTTTGGGTTGAAATTACTGGAGAGCAGAACACTCCTCTTCCTCTAGACCTATATCAAAGGTTCCAAAAAGATTTCAATCCATTACATACACAGGCTTTTGAATAAAAAAAAAGTCGAAGTCCTAATGAAGACGACTAACATTTTATGAACACTTCACTGTCAAATGTCTTCTTCTTCCTGATTGACGCTGTAACCGACTAACCGATTTTAGGTGAGTCAAATAAAGTGCGGCCATATTTTAGTATAATAAGGTGCAAGTTCAGGTGGCCTAGGATCGCGCTTGATTTTTGAGATCTTTTTGTCAAGGGTGTTACATATTTTCTTCCATATAAAAATAGGTTTCGTTCAAGTGTTTTAAGGAAGAACAACACCTTAGACGGAAAAAAATGTCAAGTTTGAAACTTTCATGTACATGTGTCTGTGGTTTTAGTTTTCGAATGCTTCTCGACGATAAGCACCATAAATTGATAGCGCCATCTATGTTTTGGATCCATTTTTTTTTGCAGAAGCACCTCTTATCATAAAGTTAATGACGTATTCTCTAAATATCTCAACTCCAGCGCCATCTGTCGGTACCATTTTCTGCTAAAGTATATTTTATGATGCAGAGCATCCGACGTCGTTCGAGGTAAACAAATACAAAAATAAAACAGGAAGAAAGATTTTCAGTTTACCATGAATTAAAGGAAACTATTTGTGTTGTTCAATTTAAGGCCCCTTATGAACAATACTTTTAATTTCTTGTGGCGGTGTAGAAGCATAAATACTATTCGGACATCCGGTCGTGAGCAACCGGCATACATATAATCATATAATATTGAATACTCAAAAGATTTTTAAATTCAAATGAAAGGTCTGTAGGAATAAATGGGACTCCTGGCAGGAACACATCTTTTCCTTTTCCGCATCCAGTATTAATTCTTTTTGGTTGATTATATTGGTCATCATTTTATTTACAACCAATACTGTTTCATCATTAAGATTAGTTGGATCAAGGCACCGAAAGAAGAATGAAAAGCGCTTTAATTTTTAAATTGATATTCTCTGAACGCAGTCGGCACGCGCGGTGGGAGGTGCTACGACTTCTTGCAAAGTCTCACCCCTTTTTAGTTTACAACAGGACATTCCATTTAGCTGTCTGTTCTGATGAAAAGAAAGAGGAGTTTATGTAGATGCTGGAAATTTAGTTCTTAACCTTCCAAGGGGCTCTCAGACCAATATAATCGAAAAACCTATTTAAGTCTGATTTGGTATACATATGTTTAACATATTAGCCAGTGAGGAACCGTTAGGCATCTCATCTATACATACAAATACATACGCACATTTTTTATAAATAAAAATGTAGGTTACTTTCTCCTTATAATTTCGAAAGCTACTGAAGAAATTTAATTGTAAGTTTTCCCTTAAATTCGCACTTAAATTTTGCTGGTGGACTTCAAAATTGTCATTCGCATAAAGGAGTTAATATTGATGACAACCAAAATTCAAAAGTGTGTGAAAAAAGATGTCGAATAGATTAATAAAAAATATTTATCAAGGTAAACATTGTGAATATTTGTAGACAAATTCACTGGGCGCTTTCCACTGCGAGCCACTGGATGAAGGTTTAAAACTGTTATAAAACGTCAACGTCAGAAATTAAATATTTTTTCCATTACATCGTTCAATGAAACGACATTAAACTCAAACCATTTAGTTATTCAAGTGTGGCTTCATACAAAAATATTTTCATCCAATTTATTACTTACTACTTGCTGATGTTGTACTCATTATTTCCTTTTCCAATGACATAAATTCAGTTAATAGGTACAACGAAAATTAGTCGAAAACAGGAAAACCATATAGAAGGGGGTGGGTAGAATTTCGCACACATTACAATGAAGTGTACGAATTTTCCCGAGTGCAAAAAAGGTCAATGCAAAACTTGCACAAAAAACCAAAAACCAAAAGCCAAAACAAAAAATCATAGATATTTACTATTTTACTTACCCCCAATAGCCTGCTGCAGAGGCAGACGACGATACATTGGCATGGGGATGAAAAAGAGCGCAGAGAGTTAGGAATATCGCATAGCAACTAACTAACTAACTAACTAACTATTGGCTTGCTGTCAATCAAAATTACGCAAAAGTTGGCAACACCGGTAAAATGGGAATGATAGGAATGAGTAGTGAGTATACAAATTTGCTGTTTTGCTGCTGCTGATGCTTTTTAGATGTGTTGGTTAGTGAATGCTGACAGCAGCAGCAGCAGCAGCAGCAGCAGTGATTTGCATAGCCACATTGCAGAATCGTTAACAAATACAAGCGTACGCAGATGTACAAATATGCAAGCAAATAGGAGGAGAAAAAAAACCCAAAGTTCTGAAGTTAAACTAAACTTTAATGCGCATAAAATGTGTACTATGTACAACATCACTCACTCACTCACTCAACAAAGCCAACAACAAATGCAAAAGGACGTAACAACGTCGCAACTGAAATGGAAAAGGTCGTGACTGATACTTTTATTTTTATTTTTATATTTATTTTTATTTTTTTTTTCAATGATGTAGGTAGTTGTAATTCGATGAAATTCATCATATAAATCAAAAAGTGTATTTTGAATTTTTTATTAGTTATGACTTTTTGCACTTCAGGTGACGCTATATGCATATGCATGGAATCACGCACGTACATATGCACGTAGCTGCATAGAACCGCATGTGTCGTGCATTAAGTGTTGCAAATTGCAATGCAATCTGCCACCGACGCGCTGCCGCAAAGGGACAGAGGGCAAGCAGGTGGGAGGAGACCGACCACCTGCCTGGCAAATACCTTTTTTTTTTTTTTTGCCAAACACATACACTAAATAGAATGATGAGTGACTTGTCGACGACGCCCGTCACTATGCAGCAGCAGCAGCAGCAGAACTAGCAGCAGCTCCCACTCGCTTTCCACTTAACTTGCCAACCACCAACCGGCCGCTATTCTATACACTCACACACACACACACATACTGCTACTCGCCGCACTAGAATCTGCAGGTGTGTGTGATTTGCAGCTCAATCCGTCCTTAGTGTGGCAGCCACGCTTTGTTGCTTGTTGTTGGCAACACTCATTGAGCTCGGCAACCAACAACGACGAATCAACAACCATCCATCCAACTCGCCATACATGCATCCAATCCAGCCATCCATCCTTCTACTGCCACTTCAGATTTCCAGTTCAATTTTAAGCTTTTTTCACATGCTTTTCTATTTACTTTTATTATTTTTATTTTTTTTTGTTTTTGAATTTCTATTTTTGCGCAAAATGCGAAAGAAAAAAATATGCGAGCATACAATTGCAACATCAAACGGAGCAACAAAATGCTTTGCGCAACATTCTAACTTTTCAAAAACCAAGCAAAAAAAGCAGACAAGAACTGGAAAACGCGCCGGGTTCGGGAGTGGGAGTGGGGTGGTATTTTCTGCACCCGGTTCCGCCCAGTCAACCAGCGTGGTGTGGCTAGCCGCATCCTCATCATCATCATCACCGTCATCAACGTCAGTTTACGGCAGCGAATGTAAACAAATGCCAAGCAGAGAATTTTTTTTTTTTACATTTTTTTTTTGGAATTTTTTCTCCTCGCCTTCGTGTGATGTTGCTGACACTGCATTTTTCTGGAATTAGGGTTGCGTTGGCTGCTAACATAAATATGTACTATACATATGTACATACATACATACAAGTGATGATAATGATATCATGTCTATCGCTTATGATGCCTTTAGTGTTAGTGTCAATAATGTTGATTACGGTGTGGTGAGTTTTAAATCGCGCGGCAAGCTTTAGTGAATATTGAGTGGGATGTAAATATGATGCGGTATTCAGCGTTTGAAAAATGTATACAGACTTTAAAATAAAAGTACATATTCGAATGCCGTTTAGGCTCATTTTACACCAAGCAGCATATATGTAGGGCAACGGAAACCCTTGCACTTGCAGATACCCCACAATTGCTTGCATTTGCTTTCATATTTGCGGTTGACGAGGATGGTGTTCAATATGACAGCAGATTTCGTCAATGTCCTATTTTCTCCCAAGTCAACTTCAATCGCCTTAATTTTAAAAACCAATCAGTTATATCCAGTAGTTGGAGTTACCAGCTGTGTGCTATTAAAGATCCCGAATGTGTAGTCATAATTTGAGTTTTGGGCACAGCACAGGTCTCACCGCTCGCTGAACCGATGGGACTTAACGATGAACCAACTGTTGCAGGGCGGCATGGAGGCAGATGGAATTGAAGATGTGTGCTCTTTCAGAAATATCTTCAAGGTAAGTTCTCCCAGATCTTATGCGATCTAAAAGAAATCTCTCACGATTTATGTCCAAAGCAGCGTGCGTTGCTGCATATATCTCTAATTGGTCTAATTGTTTGGTAATAGTAGCCATAAAGAAGCTGGTTCATGGAGCAAGGTAATTTTAGGCCACTCTGCTATCTTCGACACTTCAGCGAATATACCGATATCCCTCGGTACCGACTATTTTATACCCTCAGCCACTTTCGATAAGAAATATGAAGTTGTGTTTTCGTCAAGTCAACAAGTCAGGATTTATATAGCGAACCTCACCTAATGTCTAACGCCATTAACTTGTATACAAATTTGAAGAGAGAGCGCGAGGAGTTCTCTCCATAAATGAGCTAAAGATATCTTCTATTTTCGATCACTGCCT